TCTAATTTCCTCTATGCCTATAATAGTCACATAATAAAAACAAGTGGCTTCTATCTAATCAAAGTCAGCATACATTTAATTTGCATTTGAGGCCATAATAATTGACAGGCAGACATTTCTGGAAGAGTCTCTTTAGTGCAAGAGGATGATGAATGTTCAGGTTGCCTTTGAAATGATTCTTTGCTTTTGGCTTTTTGGATCATGCTAATAAATCTGATTTCAGACTTATGTTTAACACTCCACCCAGGGCAGCTACACCAACAGATAAAGGAAACCTAGTCTAAAACATGAGATTGGCTGAGGCTTCTTCAAACACATGATGTCAAAATACTACTATTTAACTGACTTCTCTGCACTGGCTCCTTGTAAAATTCAGAATAGAATTTAAAATCCTCCTCCTCCTCACCTACAAAGCTCTTCACATATCTTAAAGAGCTCATAGTACCCTATTACCCCACTAGAACACTGTGCTGCACACTGCAGGGCTGCTTGTGGTTCCTATAGTAGTGTGCATGTGTATATATATGTATGTGTACATATGTTAACACACACTTATGCACATCTTCTGGATTATTGGATTATTCCTTTGTACATTACAAGTATATTGTGACCTTTTGCAGATACCTTGGACTTTATTGTCTAAATTCTGCTAGCGTGGTCCTCTACCTGGCCTGTGAGAGAGGTAAAACAATTGCCATTATCACACAGTCACACCTAATACTCCAACTACAATCCTCATTCCTATCAAACAGTTTGCTCCATCTGTGATAAGTAGACCTATACAGACTAGAATGAGGTACAAATAAACATTTGAATAGAAGATCTTCCATAGAATCTTAAGATACTTGAGTATTAACATAGAAATTGTTAACATAGAAGAAAAGTGTGCTCTCAATTTGTGGAAATAAATAAATATATTGTTTCAGACAACTTGAACAATGTTTATAATGGTAGTGCTGAGTTGAAGTCATGTCAACTGACATACTTAACTTGACTGGTATTTGCTGAGATCAAACTTGGAGAGGAGAGAACACAAGTTTACCTGATCACTGTTCCCACAATTTACTGTCATGGTGTGTTTTTCCTCTGTTCGTGACCAGACGGATAGTTCTGTTTCATCCTCTCACTGAACACTGACACCCACTTTGATTTTGTAATTTGCGGGGCACTGTACATCCCGCATTGTGAGTATATGTACCAAAACAAATTTGGTGTCTGTGAAAACTTACTTGGCAATAAAGCCAACTGTGATTCTCATTACAGCACAGTACAGAACACCAGTAAGCACATACCTCAGTAAACCTGAAATTAAAAACCACATACAGAGAGTAAAGCTATACTTGACTAACTGGTTTCAATCATAATTGTTGATTTAGCGGGGCTATGTTGAGGACAGAGCCCGATGGGGTAACGACGCTCCAAGACAGATGTGAGAGGAAAGCTCCCAGAGGAGGAGATCCTTCAGTAGCTGAACACTTAACAAGCCTTCCAGCCACCTCCCAGAGCAACAACTGCTACTTCATGGCACCAATAATTGGGATTTTGGCTCTGTCTGCCATCTAATGCCAGTCAGAACCACACTTAACAAATGCTTGCTGTTCTGGCCTGTGTATGCGTGTAATGTCCTGTACTTCTGTCTTCTTGAGAACCTATTACAGTTGTGGAGAGACTCTTTGTTGTTGTTATTGTTGTCATTCAAAATAAGCATTCACCCTTCTTCACGGGGCTGTTTTAGAATTTGGGCTTGACTAAAGGATTATGGTTAAAATTGGGATGAGGCTGAGTTTAATGACTGACATTTTCACTAGCGAGAATTGATTTGTTAATAATTATGAACATTTTGATTAGTGAGAACTGAGTTGTAGATATCAATTCTTAGAATTGCAACTGGTCAAAACTACATTATGGATGAGTCAAAACTGAATCATACATACCTGTAACTGAGCTTAAATAGAAATCGATGGTAAAAGTTAACTAGTTGTAATTAATTTACATATCTAAACAACAGACATTTCTATGAGGGGCCGTCAGGGAC